TCAGGGTAGAGCTTGTTCAGCTCAGCCAGCTCCTTATCTGAAAGCTGCGGGAGGAGAGTGCGGAAGAAGTCCGTGAAATCATCAGGCGAAGATGCTGCCTTGGGGACGTACATCGCACCCTCATTGTGAGCTGATCCAGTGAAGATTGGGACCTTGTTCCATTTCCCAGACTTCCAGGCATCGATGGGACGTCGAGAGATGATGTCACCGTCGAGTACAGGTTGCCAAGCCCATCGAACAGACGGATTGGATTTCTCGTAAACTTTCTGACCGGACTCAATGATTGTCGAAGAGGGCAGCGCGCGAAGACACGGCAGGATCTCATGCTCGGGGCGGTTGTTGCAGCCAGTGAGCTCGAGAAACTCCTGAAAATGAGCCTCGTTGAGCTTCGATTCGGGCGGGTGAACTACTCGGGCAGTGTGACCGCCGGAGTCCATGATGGCCTTGTGGAAAAGCTTCTTCTTCCGGTTGATGTCCATAACCAGATGGCCAATCTGCACGTCGGTTAGCAAAACTAGGAAACTTTTCCCATAGACAAGGCAGCTTACACCGTGAGCAGCAGCAGATAGCCCCATGATTGTCACATCATCAGAGTCACCGCCAAAAGCAGCGATATTCTTCTGAACCCACTCCAAGGCCACATACATGTCCTTGAGTCCCAGATTTAAGAGACCTTCTTTTTTGGTCAGAGCGGTGTTCATGCCACCCGCAACACCAATGCGATACTGCATTGAGACACCGATCCAAGGCTCTTCAGACCAAGCCAGCATCGATGGTGTGTTGTGCATCCGAGCTGCTCCGCGGTTGAATGCACCCCCAGGGATCATCACCGCGACAGGAAGTTTCTTATCGCTGGCCGTATGGCCTTTCGGACGATACACATTGATAGTCAAGCAGTCTTCGCTCTCCCAGTCGGGACCCAGCCACTCGTCGTCGGTGAAGGGAACAAGCTGCTTTCCAGGGCATCTAGTTGTATGTTTAGGTTATCAACTCATGATTGGCTTCATCTCTTGGCTCAAACCCACCTTGGACCCAATTCGAATGCCTCGAGTGTGCCGTTTCCGGCGGCTACAGGGACGGCATGGCGGAATCTCAACTGTCCGACCGGTGGGAGTGCATACGGTATCCCCATAAAGCCCTCCAGAGGCTCAGGAAACGTACCGTCCGTTACTAGCCTGCCAAGAATGGTGCCCTGGTTGATTGTGACCGACGCTGCCGGGCTGTACTTAGAGTTCGTTGATTGACTGGCCGTCAACCCCCCTGGCTGTCCAGACCAGAAGTAGGCCAAGACGCCAGCTGCGGCCAGGGGAAGACCCAGACTCCATTGCCAACTTGGGCTATCCGTTCTTTTCGACATTTTCTCCCCGATTCGAAAACAGAGCAGTGAGAATCGACTAAGATGAAGCTCAAAACTGGATAAGTCGGCACCGCAAATCTAAAGCTTCATGATATACAATACCCAATCGAAGCTTTGGACATCGTTATTGCCGCAAGTGGGAGTTGATAACACTGTTTACGCAGGGTTTGGGAGACGGCGAGTCAGGGGCATTGCGGGCGCTCACAGTGTTTTCCCACGGCTTACGGTGCCCTCGCACCTCGCCGCGGCAAACTCAGGGGTCGGTTGCATTTTGCCGAACGAGCGCGCCGTTCCCCGCGATGGAACGAAATATGGCACTGGACGCAGTAAAGTCAGTAAGACGTTTGACATTCAGTTGCGGCTTAGTCGCTGAGAAGAACCTGAAGCGGCAATTTCAATGCCGCAGAAAATCGTTCAGTTTGTAGCACGATGATCTCTTAAAGACACAAATCTCGACCTCAGAAGCCATTGAATGCTTCAGATGTACTGCACGTTATACATATCTAGGTTTTCAGGTTGATGGTGGGTAAAGATGGCTCCGAATTCCGACTGTAACGTCTTCAATGCGACAATCAGGGACGGCCGGATTCCGATGGTCAACATCGGCCCCACTGAAGAGGCCGGCACGGAAGCCTCCGTCAATCTCGGCGTGTGGCGGAGACTACCTAGCCGAAAGATGCTGTTTGAGATCTCGTAGTGTCTAAGAAACACCAATAGAGACAAGAAATATCATCTAAATGCCATGGTTGTGCTTGTCATATTGCATTCAGCTGCAACTTTTTATTAAATGCCCTCTCAACACTTTTTGGCGATTGTGTGGCCGTAATAATACGTCTATTATATCCTATTAACTGCCGAATAACACTAAAAACCCCAACCCACAAAAACGTCCACTTTTTCCCCTCATAGAGGCAGTATATCTAGAGATATTACTTCTCCCTATAATTTTATCCCTACTTTTATACTAAAATTATTATTTTAATTAATATTACGATAGGTTTAGATAACTTTAATACTTCTATAAGGTCTACTTTATTAGTCTAGAGCTATATTATTATTACTATCCTACTAGAGGACTTTATTATTACCTATATTTTAAAGTATACTCTAGAGCGTTATAATAATACTATAACCTAGCTTTATAAAGCCTTTAAAGTTAAAACTAGAGCTTTAGGCTTCTTCTAACCTTTTAAAGTATTATCTTAAGATACTAAGATATAGGATCTACTGAAAATATTATTAGACCTCTTCTTCTACTTTATCCCTTAGGAACTTATAGAGTAATAAACTAAGTAAATAAATAACGTACTAGTACTAAAGTCTTAGAAGTATTATTTAAGAAGCTATAATTAGTACTTTATTTCACTAGAAGAGATCTACTTATACTTTAGTATTCTTCTTTATATAGGAAGCTATATAGAAACTTTAATAGAGTAGTATTAATTTAGTTAAGCTAAAAAGGAGGATCCTATCTATTATTTCACCTAATATATCTCTTAGAACTAGTTCTAACTTCTCTTCTAGAGGCTCTATATATTTAATATAGCTAAGTTTAAAGCTACTAACCTTATAGTATTAATAGAAGGTTAAAGTTAAGGCTAAGGTTAGCTAGCTAATATAGAGATACTAAAGATATACTAATAAGTTAATAGCTAGTCTTAGTATATTTAGGAAACTAGAGATAACTTCTATTATACTAGATTAGACTTTACTATTAATAAGGCTATAGTTTAGTTTATAGGCTAGTTACTAGAGATAATAATAATTCTAAATAAGCTAACTCTAACTAGTTTTAAGGTTTAGGTTCTAGCCTAAAAAGGATACTACCTCTAGTAGCTATAGTATATATATAGTAAAGGGCTATATAGATTAGTCCTATAAGCCTAACTAGCTTAGAATAATAATACTATAAAATAGGTAGTATTAACCTTAATATAGTAGGTTATAACGACTTTTTTAACCTTACTTCTAACTAATATCTATTATATATTTCTTAATAATCTCTTTACTTCTATTTAGCTTCTCTAAGCCTTTTAGAAGGTAAATATTAAGGTTATAGGGACTTATTAGAAGGATAGAGGTATTAATAAGATCCTTATAGCTAAAAAAGAGGATAATAGTAAGGGTATTCTCTAAGGTAAAGTTTATTATATCTCTACTTTAGATAGCTAGGTATAATTATAAAACTACTACCTATATATCTTCTTATATTAATTAGTTTATTTATTACTTCTTAGGTTAATTAGTTTATTTAGAAAGATAATACCCTTATACTATTCCTTATAATAATTTATTAGGAGACCTCTAAAGTTATCTAGAAGTAGTACTAGCTTACTAGAGATTTTACTATAAAAAAGGCTATATATAAGGTCTTTAGGCTTAATATCTAGAAGGATCTTCTAATACCTATAATAATTAATAATTATAACTATAATATAAATAGTATTAATAAGAGCGATTAAATAAAGTTATACTACTTATATAGTTATCCTATTTATTATAGTAGTTAGTAGTTATTAGCTTAAAACTTCCTACTTAAAGTTATTATTATAAATACCTTCTTATTATAGCTATAGGGGTAGAGTAACTAGGATATAATTAGAAGCTAAATATAATAGTACTAAGTACTTTATACCTAGTTATTTTAGTATTTTAAGTTATTAGTAGAAACTTATAAAAAGGGTTATCCTTATAGGGCGACTAATTAATATAATAATAATTTTTTATAGTAGTATTATATATAGGGTAATTATAGGGTTAACTTCCCTTATATAGTTTATAGTAAGGTCTCTATTATAAAAAATTAAATAGTTATAGCTAAGATATCTAAGAATAACCTCACTTAGTAGCTTTATTATAAATATATAAGATCTAGCTATATTTATTATAATGTAGCTCTATATATTAAGGGAGATTACTAGTATAACTTCTATACTTAGAATATATAGAGAATAGAAGTACTAGATATCTAGCTAGTTTAATTAGGTAGAAAAAAAAGAAGGTAAGCCTCTAATTAGTACTACTCTGCGCGAGGGGTTTCTGGCGTCATTCGGCAGTTAATAGGATATATACTTATACGAAGCTGCCTATGAAACCGGATCTGGGAACTTTTCATGTGATTATCTTAGACGATTCGAAGGTGTCGAAATGTCTAATATTTCAGATACGCACGAAAATTCCCTGAAGCCTACCGGCTCTTCGCCTCTTTGCCCATCTGGTTAGGCGAGGTGTTAACCGAAATCCTTCGCGCAAGATGCCGCACTAAAGGTCTAAAGCCAACAGTCGTACGAGTAGCAGCTTTTTCGACGAATCACACATCAGCAAACCAGCGACATTGACGAATCTCACGTCAGCCTGGACAATCCGGGAAAGATCCCTGCGGCGCAGTAACGAGCTTCCACATCGATATTGATGGCTGACGAAACCCACGCCTGTGGCCGGATTAAGATGCGCACATTTCAACCCCTGGCGATTACAGCACGCTGTGTCGCAATTCGTCTAAAATATGGGCAGTGCCTCGTGTCGATAGCGAGCATTGCCGTCAAGTCTGGCGAATATATGTAGACCATCTCCCAAAATCTCTTTCTCGCGTAGCGATCCATCGCGTCGGCAATTTTTCACAAGCAACGAGGTTTTCTAAGCTATGACTGACTGGAATCAAATTTATGCGGCGGCCTTTGTGGGCATGCTAGGGGGGCTCGTTTCTGTCCACCTCAAGACTTCCAAGCGCAAGCCCCCTGCAGCAGTCCAGGGCAGGCCGGATACGATTCTCTTCGCAGTCAACACCGAATATGGTCTCTCGAACGTCCATCTCGCGACAATATTCTCGCTGCTCAAGAACCACCCAAATCTTAAGATTCACATCGCTTCTTTCCCCAGCTTTGCCTCCAAAATCGATCGTATTCGCACGTACGCAAGCAGACAGAACTCCTCGTCGAGTAATGTGGTTTTTCATGAGCTACCTGGCCCTGAGTTCGGTCCTGCGACGATGATGCCATCTGAGATGATCATTAGGCCGCCTGGCATCCGTAGCATCGACACTGTGGCGAAAGCGGTGCAGGTGTACCTTGCGCCCTGGACCGGAGAGGATCATTTACGAATGCACAATTTTGTGAGGGACCTCATCCGGGACCTGGACCCTGGTGTCATTGTTCTTGATATTTTCCTGAGGCCCGCAATGGATGCAGCCAGGAGCGAGCGGAGGCTACATGCTGTTCTCGCGCCGAATGTGCTCGCAGACATATTTGGATCAACACAACCGTGGTGCAGTGGTCTTTGGAAGTTCCCAGCGTAAGGGTGTCTGTCATTTTCTTGCTTGCAACCGGCGTGCAAACTGACAGACAATTCGAATAGCATGGGTTCCGCTCATACGTTTCCCCTCCCCTGGAGTTCCATACCTTCCAATATCTACCAAGCAGGCTGCTTCCTCTATTCTATGACATTTTGCCCAGATCAGGCGTCGAAGCAAAAGTTTTTGAACGATAATGGGCTATCCGATCCCATCTCTTACTTCAATTTTCATGACCCCCCTCTAGGCTATCTCATTTGTCAAGATACCCCCAATGCCTCTATCCCTCTCATCCGCGCCCCTCCCAACGTAACGACGACAGGACCCATCGCTATCTCAGTTGCCACAGCAGAAGAGCAAGACCCAGAACTTGCAAAGTGGATGAAGAAAGCACCGACAGTACTGATCAACCTTGGAAGTTTCTTCCGGTACGACGAGGAACGAGCTAGGGCAATGGCCGGTTCTCTGAAGGTTGTTTTGGAGCGGACTGAAGTACAGGTTCTGTGGAAGATCATGCCAAACACCGACCCCGTACTCGAAGACAATGTTTGGATGCCTCTGGTCGAGGATTATGTGAAATCGGGTAGGCTGAGAGTAGAGAAGTGGCTTTCTGCTGATCCTTTGAGTCTACTGGAGACTGGTCAAGTCATTCTCTCTGTGCATCATGGGGGAGCAAGCTCCTATCATGAGGCCGTATCGTAGGTCTTCCGTTTGAATCTCGCCTCCAGATGAAAGGCTACTGACCTGTGAATGCAGAGCTGGAGTACCACACCTTGTTGTGCCTGCTTGGCTGGATTGCTACAACTATGCAGCTCTTGCAGAGAGTTTCAAACTTGGCGTAAGAGGGAATCATAAGGCTGCTCCCGACATTTCTCAAGATGAGCTGACTGAGGCATTTTTGGCGATGCTTGATGGTGGCTCATCCTGCGTAGAGATGAGGAGCAATGCCAAGCGTCTGGCGAAGTCTATTGTTCGGCCGGGAAGAGACGTGGCTGCTGATAAAATCGCGGAACTAGCAGCCGGCGGCCATTGAATGGAGCCCTTGGAACTCGACACGAGTCCGGACGAAAGTTTTCACTTGTCCAAGAATCATTCAGCACAATTTCGTGAGCACGCCTGCTATCTTTGTATTCCAAGAGAGCCTTGGGGCTTTTACCACTTGTAACTGAGATTAAATACAAATATTTTCCGATTCTACGAGTTGCAACATGGACTATTCAAGTGTTGTAGGGGCAGAACTACTCAGACCGATGTGACTGTCAGCCCATCAAGATTGCCTTTTGTCATCCAGCCATCCAGCATCCTACGATAGTCGATGATTCCTGTTCCCCAGACCAAATTTGATACCCCCATTCCTTTTTTCAGCAGCTTAGCATTGCCAGTGAACCATCCAGGAGTGCATGGTTGCGAGAGCGCTGTCCAGCCCACACGTTCAATCATTTGTTGGACGTACCTTTCCTCGGACTCTCTGGTAACTTCAACGACCATTCTTTCGGGAATGGATGCATTCTTAGTGGCCGTGGAAATGATGTGCGCAACAACGTCCGCTGCATTCACATAGACCGACGTGATGTTTGGCGAGGTGCCCAAGTTGGAGAAAGCCGCAAAGAATAAGTTGGGAAAGCCATGGGTAGTGACACCAAACAAGGAGCCAGCTTCTCCTCCGTTCCATTTCTCGGCGATGTCTCGTCCGTCGCGACCTGTGAATGTGGACCCCGTCTGTCCGGATGGCGACCCATCTCCTGATGTTACGCTTTGAAACCCAGTGGCGAGAATCAAAAGATCCAGGGGGTATGTCTGACCTCCGTTGGCAAGAACTCCCTCGGAGGTGTAGCCCTCAATCCCTTGGCCATCTGTATCGACGAGCTCGACGTTAGGTCGATTGAAAGAAGCGAGGTAGTCTTCGTGAAAGGCAGGTCTCTTGCACCACACTCCGTACCATGGCTTCAACTTCTCGGAGACAGACTTATCCATGACTTGGTCTTCGATGTGTCTGCGAACTCGCTCGGCGCGAGGTCGATCAGTCTCAATGAGCGAAGCCAACAACTCCTCCTGGGATCCACCAGAGGGCTTCGGTGACCCAATGGCACCGGCAAAGGCATGACATTCGCTCCAGCCATCGTTGAAAAGATCCTCCTCGGGAACATCATTCGTGAGAGAGCGATTAAGGTTGTCCATTCGTTCATACTGCCAACCCTTCTTGTTCGCAACATTCGATGCCCAGGTCTCTCGGTCCGTCTCTCTCTGTCCGCGCTCTGAGACATACGTAGGCGTGCGCTGGAACACGTACAGCCTTTTTGCCCATTTTGCGACTTCAGGGACGACTTGGATTGCAGTCGCTCCAGTGCCGATAATACCGACAACCTTGTCCTTGAGGTTTGACAAGTCCGGCTTTTCTTGCGAGCCGCCGGTGTACTTGTAATCCCAACGCGCGGTATGCATTAATCGCTTGTTTTTGATGAAGCCCTGGAGTCCAGGTAGCTTAGGGAGATGCGGAGAGACGAGAAAGCCTCCAGCAGAGAAGAGGAACTGAGGCCTCACTGTCAGCTGGACAGGTTCTCTGTTGGGCCCACGGTTCTGCACCATCGACACGATCCAACGACCTGCTTTCTCATCCCACTGTTGGCTCTGAACAGTGGTTCCAAACATTCCTCGAATGTTCAGCGCACTAGCGACATTCTCCAGGTGTTGACGGATCTCACTGCCGTATGAGTATTTGTGCTTGGGAATGTAGCCTGTCTCCTCTAAAAGAGGAAGATACACGTAGCCCTCAACGTCGCACATGGCACCAGGGTATCGATTCCAGTACCTAAAACCAATCAGCTACGGCCAAATATGCCAGCGCAAACAGAGAATTGGGTGTGTATACTCACCACGTTCCGCCAAACCCGCCGGCCGTGTCTACCGCAACAAAGTCTTGAGCTTGAAAGCCGGCCTTGACGAGCCTATGAGCGAACAGCAGACAGCTGATTCCGGCTCCTATAGCAAAACCTTTGATCTCATCGCCATTCTTGAGCGGCTCTCCTTTCTCCAAGTTGTCGTAGTCAATGAAGGGATCTACTGCAAGGTCGTGCAGCTTGTGGTCGTCACGGAAGCTTGCGTACTCTTCAGCGCGGACAGCGGCAAGACGCTTTTCCCGCTCTTCGGCATACTTTCGAATCGTGGTCTCAATTGTAGTCATATTGATTGCTTTGATGGGCTTGGTGCCCAATAATCGAGAACAGCGTCTTTATAAGTAGGTGCCTGGTTGTCAAGAAAGATGAGTTTGGTGATCTTCTTCATCATTCAGTATTTCCAAAGTCATGAGTGATGTTTTATACTACACGCCTCAGATTCTGACACCTTCCAATACTGATGTATGCTCTCTAGCATTGACGAACGATCTCTACGTGCCTACGGGCAAAACCCATCGGAGAATAGTCACATATTCTCCTAGCGCGTGCACCGCTCTTACGTTCTGTTTGGGAATGAGACCCTGCCGGACGTCGCTAGCCGCGGTTCCCGTTCTGATGTGTATCGGGCTGCTGAGGTGTTCTTGGGGTTCTGTCGGAGCTCTAACAGTCTCTGAAGTTAACCCGTCCCCGTTGCTTGGCTTAACATTCAACCTATCTTTCCTCCGGTTTGAACATGAACGGGCCCAGGATCTTAGACCTCGTAGTCCGATCGGAGCGCCGCGGGACCTGTCGGTATAATGATCGTTCCACATACTCTTCGGTGTACCTTCTGGCCATGGGCGACAACTGAAAATTTGCTAAAGTCGGGTCTAGAAAATCCATCCCACTCCGGCTCATTAGTGGAAAAGATTTCAATCAGAATATCTTCGTTCCTTCTCGTCACTTCATGGAAATCCAACATTTCCGGTTATTCAACAACTTCGCCGAGAGGTTTTAGATCTAAGATACAGATGTTCAGCTTTCCATATTTAATTGAGGCGGCATAACCAGTGGCCAGCCTCTGATCCCGCTGTTAGCTGACTCCGCCCAATAATTTGACATCTGTACATGATTGTATCACTGCAATTCAATAGCTACCTATAGCAGCAGCTACAACACGACCATAGGCTTCGTGTTCTGGTGAAGCTCCGCTTGCTACCACTGAATACACCCTTGTCCGCCCTTTCTACATTAATAGCTATTGCCTATTTGATGATTGAAATTTGACCAGAACCCCTGTCGTGGCCCATTATTTCATGCCGGTGTCCCAAATGATCAGTAATCTGAAATAAGCCCTCGGCAGAAGGCCCGAACATTATGCGCCCGGTAATCGGTTTGTGCCATCTAGGGGGCATCACTTTGGCTCTTACAGACTTGTTTACCCACGCAGCATACGTCTGAGAACTCGCGTTCATTGTCACTGTCTTTTTTTTATCACTCTCGGTGCGAGCGTTTGAACCAAAATCAATGACAGGCAGTTCACCCATGGTATGGTTTGGCCCCCTGGCGTGCTGCTTTGATAAAAGGCATATGTACACAAATGGGAGACCGCAAGACAATTCAAATGACCGCTGTCGTGGTATATACTTATACAAAGTTTCACATTTGAAGGTCATCTAAGGGTCAAGTATGGCGACAGAGGAGAACATCTTCGGTGGGCTTTGCGCACAGTACTTCTTCTTGGTGTTGGTCAACTTCAAGAAGACAGAGATCACGTTTGAAAGTGCAACGTCCACATGGAAATGGCGTAATACTGACCAAAAATCACAAGCTTGACGGGACCCCACGGCGGCCGTATACGAGGCGCACGTGCGTCGTCTTTACACCATAGCGCTTACATTACCGTATGCGGGAAAGGCAGGGCGGGTCAAGCGGCTGGTAGCAATGCCCTGGACCCTTCCGTACAGTTAATTTTAGATACAAGGATATCATTGGGTTCTAGAATGTTAGGAGTGGCAACAAGTGTGCGTGCTGGGGCAATATTAAGCTTGGAAACTGGCCCCCACATTGTGCGAAGTTTGCTAGGCGAGTCTGTCTACGGGATATACCTACTCAAAAAGGCATGTCAATCGTACCATCATGTCCCACCTGCCATTTGTAGTCTCATACTTCTATCCCGCCTGTGTTCACGGAGCTTCCAGGCTTGTACGTCCATCGTTACGGCGCATTATTCTCACGTGTATCAAATGAACAAACGTGTGGTTGAAGAGCCATACATATTTTGGTCCCGGTGACATACCTTTAGAGTATCACCAAAAGCAAGTGTAATTTATAGAGGGTGAATGAGAAAACAAGACTTGAAGCTATGAGTAGGATTGCCCTTGCGATGATGAGGATGCTAGACTTGAACCGCCCAGAAATAACTCGATGCCCTTCCGCTATACGACCTAGCTCTGCCCCGTGACTTCTATCTCCCTTTTGCCTTGGTTTGCAGGTCGGTCAAATACTTGGGTATGGCGGGGTTGGAAACCAGAGGAGATTCCAGCTGGAAGGTATCAGTTGGCCCTGACGGCTGCAATCTTCACCTCAGGAGCAGTGAAGCACTGGCTGAGGACTCCTTCGGTGCCAGAGTGTCCACAGACATAGTCAGACGTGCCAGTTTGGATCTGAGCAAGATAGCGGGTGAGGCAACCCAATCCTGGATGCCAGAAACGCCTGCAGGGAAGTAGATACTGGTGGTGTACTCGGGCACAGAGCAAGAGGCTGCCGTGTTCCGGCTCATAGCATCCCTGAGTAACACTGTCAGCAGGACAGTACATATAATTCTTCGTCACCACACCCTTCTTACCATTCGACATTGCAATGGACGGTCTGGCCATTGGTGCCATCAAGCACATCAAATTCGTAAGTAAGCGTATTATTGGCCAGAGTCTTGGCGGAAACGTTGGTGATCTCAACGCCGGGGACCTCAACAGGAGCGGCAGCGGCAAGGGCCGCGAGGAAGATCGGTGCGTAGCGCATTTTGGAAAGGTGGTAGCGACTGGTGTAAAAGATATTGCAGTTAACGAGCGATGAAGAGCTTGAAAGATTGAATGCTGGTGAAGGAAGTTTAATCGTCTGCTGCCGAGTGAGAGTGTCTGATATAAATATGTACGCCGTTCCTTCATACCGTATGTCGGTAACGGAGAGTCAAATCGTGGGAGAACAATAAACTCGTATTCTAAATTGAGCTTGATGGGGTACCGAAGCATTAGGCGCCGTCTCTACGAAGGTCTCATTGTGCGAATTAGGAAAGTTATCCGCCTGCTGAAAGGAGCCAGACCATTTATTGGCTGTGACCCATCGAAGATGAGCACTGTGACCTTGTAAAGCCCTATCCTTGGTTCCAGATTCCACATGGGCAGGATTTCAATAGGGGCTTCGGGAAAACTCCACCCTTGCAGCACCAGGTATGGTTGTGGTCTAGGTATGTATCAGATGCTAACTGATTACAGGACTTCACGAGTATGGTACCACAAACACACATTTCCGCTGATGCCATGTGCGGTTGCAAATCTTCATTTGTTTTCTTTGAGGAAAAGCCAACAGCACAGGTTGCTCTCATGCAATAAATAATTACTGCGTCAAACACTCAGTCGAGTATAAGAATAGGACGACGTCGTTGGAGTTTTGGGGGTGCAGCTCTCAAGCATAGGCCCCGCTGGCTCTGTTCCATCCGCCTGCTTCGATCCCATGGCAACGTCGGAATATCGGTTCGCCTGATTGGCAGCAAACGGCACACCGCAAGTCCGAGCTTGTAGTTGGGCGTAAATAAAACCATCATTTTCTAACACAAATTCGTATAGTCCCTGCTCTGCTATAAGTGGCCATGCTTCTGATTCAATCGTAGCTTTGCGTAATAGTAAAAGAGCTCTATATTGAGCGAATACTTCATTCCACGCCTCATTGCAGAATACCTACCTTGGGCGGCCAACGCCACCAGGTTCTGCTTGACCTTTACTGCAGCGTGCTCAGCCTGGACCTTACCACTCTACCATCCTTGACAAGAGCTAGAATGGCCTCCTCAGGATTGTCCAATATCGAGATGTCATCCAACGGATTGCGCTCCATGATCAGAAGATCAGCCATGAATCCTTCCTTGACCTGGCCCAACCGGTCTTCCTGTCGGAGCAACTTCGCCGCATTGACAGTCGCACTCCTCAAGACCTCTACCGGGCTCTGCACTCGACTGCGGATGGAGAATTCCTTGCTCTGCGCAAAGTGAGTGGGCCCCAGGAGGTCAGTTCCGAAGCACACCGTAACGCCAACCTCCGTGGCCATTTTTAGCGTCGCAAGCCCGCGGTCCAGCACCTCAGTAACCTTCGCCTCGGACTCTGGTTCGAGGAAGTGTAATTCTTTGGATATGAAATGCGTAACAAGCGTCGGAGTGAGGAATGTCCCCTTTTCGGCCATCAGCTTGGCAGTTTCCAGGTCGATCAGGTTGCCATGTTCGATGCCCCTAACACCCTGCCCAATAGCCTGGCGGACGGCCTCGGTGGTGTAGCAATGGCTCGAGACATACGACTTCGCATTTGTTGCGGCAGTGACGATAGCTCTGATCTCTTCATCAGAGAACTGCAGGGAGTCAATCCGATCCGTCGGGCTAGCAACACCGCCGCCACCCATGATCTTGATAAAATCAGCCCCCTGGCGAAGCTCATCCCTCGCAACACGGAGACAGTCGGGCACTCCATCCACAATACGGCTGATACCCGATACATCACCCCCGCAGCAGGGCATAGTATCGTGGCGGCCCCGCATGTCTCCATGCCCGCCCGTCTGCGAAAGTGCCTTCCCAGAGATGAATAGGCGAGGTCCCGGGTGGATGCCTTCTTCGATCGCTTCTTTCATTGCCAAGCTTGCACCGCCGCAGTCCCGGACGGTAGTGAAGCCGCGGCCTAGCATGGATTTGAGAACATTGGGCTGGCGGATCAGGCTTTTTGTCTCGGTCATGTCGCGGTACGAGGAAAGGGATGCTGCGCCAGGGGGCACCGCAATATGAACATGGCAGTCGATGAGGCCAGGGCAGACGTATTTTCCTTGAATGTCCACAATATTATCGGGGTTAACGTCTAGCTGCTCCTCGCGGGAGGAGCCGGCCGGCTCAACAAAACCTATTCTGCCATCTGCAAGCGCGATTGAGGAGTTTTCCGAGGTGGTGCCGCTGACAGGGTCAACAATTTTGGCGTTCTTAATCAGATACGTCTTCTGGTTGGAGGGTTTCCACGGGGTGATGTATTTAGAGATATCAATTTCATCGGACTTTTGGCGAGAGGTGACCATTGTAAGCGCAAAGCGAGGGCTGGCTCTATGTTCTCTTGGAAGGAAACTTGCGTGGCACCCTTAATGTACGTAGGAACGAGCTATGATCTTCGAGCAGGAACGAAATAATGATAGGTGCATCAAGTGGTGCCTCATATCAAGATCGAGAGCTAATGGCCGGTTTATGTATTTAGAGCCACCACGACTACCGGATCGCCGGATCTGCTGCTCCAAGAGTATTGCCATGCATGCGGAATCAAACTCCTGCTATTATGGCCTGAAATGGCGCGGTATTTCCAGCAGTGTCCTGCGTTACGTAAGGCTGGTGGACGAAACCGACGGTTTGTGAAAAATGCAGTGGGGATATTGGTGAGGATGTCTCAGAGTTAGTCGCCCCGGGTTGCCGGGAGTCTCGGTGTCATGTGAATCTCGGCGAAGAGCATTCCTCACGTTCCTTCGGCTCTGATACTTTGTACTGGGTCGATACGTTCATGGAAATGCCCCTACTAGTGAGTGTCCCGATGTTTTCTTCATGCCGTGCATGCCTCTTCCCATGTTCTCCCGTTTTTGCGACCGATGGGCTCGCTCACAGCCTACAGGGAAGTCGTTTTGTCCTGTGATCAGATCGACCTCACCTATTCCACAACGTGCCTGCTCCACATCCTCGAGACATCGCGTTGTATTCCCATTTGCGGCAGAGAATCGACACATCTTACCCGAAACGTTTTCTATTCCCCAGACTGACCCAACAGGGGACGTTGAACTTGTTCGGGAGTAGTTAGGCGAGTTCACAACCGTCTTGACTGGCTCTAGTCTGGCCTGTACCTGAACACAATTCAACTAGGATCGCACGTGGTTTGTGAGCCTTTGGAGTTAGATCATTGTCACAGTCACAGCACGTGGAACTGTACACGGTCAGCATGGAAACTTAGGAAATGGTTGAGACCAGCGTTTTTAGATAGGTTGCTCGCCCAAGTTTTGCAACGCCCGTCAATAAAACACGAGTTGCCTGGAAATATCGGGAATTGAGACACCAGGATAATACTTTTTGGAGAAGCGATATAGATCTGGGCAACGACGATTCGCATATGCTAGATCAATACATGCTAATCTAGTGATTCCTTCTCTTTTGCTTCATCAGTACTACTTCTCTCGATATAGATGCAATCATGAAGAGGCATCCAGTGGAAACTCCTTCAACAGAACTTCCATACCCTGAACCAAATCCGCCTTCAGATCCTCCATATCCTCCACTCCACAGCTCACTCGGAGCAGTCTTTTGTCGCAACCAGAGTCGCTCATAGACCGCCATTCCATTAAACTCTCCACGCCTCCTAAGCTTGTTGCATGCTGGAATACATACATTCGGCCCGGCATTCTCTTTGCATGTTCGGGACTCTTCATTGTCAAACTAAACACAGCGCCAAAGCCACCGGGCATCTGGTTCTGAAGCCAGCCATCGCTAAGAGCGTCCGTTTGCAAAGAGGCATGTCGAATCTCGGCAACAGCTTGGTTAACCGCCGATCCGGATCGATGCATCTCTTGGAGCAGCCAGGTGACCAGGTTTGTGCAGGTCTGCGACTGCCGGGTCACGCGAAGTTGAAGAGTGCGTACGGATCGGATACCGAGCCATCCTTCGAAGCTGCCCATAACTGAGCCAATGATTTGGCGCTCCTTGTAAAGAGTATCGACCCAGCCTTCCTTGACACGATCCTGACGGACGACAAGGATACCGCAGAGCATGTCAGAATGACCACCAATATACTTTGTGCCGCTGTGCATTACAACATCGGCTCCGAGTTGAAGTGGATCTTGGAGCGGAGGCGGCGCGAATGTTGCGTCAACACTGAGGTAAGCCCCGGCCGCGCGAGCCTTCTCGCTGTAGTAGGCAAGGTTGGCTGCCTCGCCGGTAGGGTTGAGTGGCGTCTCAACATGAACGATGTCATCGGCTTGAAGTTGATTCAGGTCCTCCAGGGTCAGCTTTTTGACTCCGGTCAACTTGGACATGATTTCAATGACTCCATGGACGCCGTGGTAGCCTTGACCGATGAAAACACGTTTGGGGTTGAGGCAGACCATCAATGCATGGAATGCTGAGAGACCACTAGAATAAGTGACAACATGCCCCCCGAAGACATTTCGCAAGATCATCTCGAGTCGACTCGTGTTTGGGTTAGTGTATCGTGAGTAGACGTGAGAGTCCTCGGGAGCGTTGGGCTGTTTCGTCAGTTACTGGCGCAAGGAAAGTGTTGATTCACCGCGAGACTCACGTCTGTGTTGTCGCCCTGCTTCAGGTCCTCTGCGTCACGAGCGTAGCGATAGTTTACCGCAACTTGCATTCCTGGCGCGATGGCACGGTGAGGGGTGAAGAAATCGTCCGAATGCACAGCACGCGTAGCCATAGACATGTTAGGGAGGGCATGATTAAGTGCGTCCGCGGTCAGCACCCAATTGGTGGGCGCCTTGCTGTTCTGGTGAGATGCCATGGTGAGTTGAATGGAGGTAGTGTGAAGTCGGAAAACCGAGCAGCAGCGTGCTGGGGAAAGATTGAATGGTTTTTATGCAGTCTGCGGGACCAAATCAGTTACTCAACAGAGATAACAATTGATATATGAAACGACGTCAACGTCGTGGAAAAGACGCATTGCAGCAGCAGAAAGAGGTCGGGTTTCAGATCGGGTTTGGACATACCCGAAATATAGCGATCCAGACTACCTTAGTTGAGATCCCTATCTACGGTCAATAAAAATACTAGCTTGCCGCAATCTTAGACGTTCATTAGAGGAGAGGAACAAAATCAAGGACTGCATCTTCTCATACGTTGCTTATGATAGTCTTTCTCCTGGTCTTATCGCCTGTAGTCAGACTGCATGCAATTTAATGTGCACCTTTAGACACGTGTTTGTGATAATTGAGCCTAAAATGACTTTATTTTTTGTTTTTTAATCTTTATGTTGCTTGAATACTTTCGTCCAATAATTTGCTCGGCGAAACGTGATTGACGCACGGTATGCCTAGTACTCAAGGAATCTGGAGTGAAACGCCTCCAAAAGACTCGTTCTCCAAAGACGCGGAATACCACGTAGGCCACAATGCTTGATCTCCCAACAAAGCAACAGGATCAAAGTTTCCAAGGTCTTCTGAGTCAAGGACAGCGTTGTTGTTATCTTCGCCAACGTCGATGGACTGCCCGTCTCCCTGTTCTGCCCCACGAATCATGGCCATATGTTGTTCTGACCTGTCAATCGTCCTGAACTCGTGAGCCGATTGATGCAGGACTTCAAAGTCCAGGCGTGATCTGTGGCGATATCTGTCAACATTTGAGTTCACTTGCTCAAACAACGTCGAGGCATTTTGAATAGTTTGGATCTGTATAGTGTTAGCCATTAGAGCGGAAGACTTAAGGTAGTTCAAAAAGATTCCTCACCCAACCTTCTCCGAGATCCCAGGCCTTTCGGAATTCCTTGAGATACGCAAGACCCATGTCCAGATGTTCTTTAGCATTTGGACTGAATCCCGCTGTCATATTGGGAAAGTGAACAGCATAAAGGTTCAGATAACAGGCTGAGAAGCCACAGAAGCCAGGCACGGGAGTCATCATTGTCATACCCCACTCAAGGGCGTCACGCAGGATAGTCGCCACATGCGCTGCTGCTTCGAAAAGCTCTTTGGCACTGTTTTCCCAGTAACACGGTGGTGCCTCAGCTTCGAGAAATGGGGGATCCGTAGGGCCTTGCGGTTCCGCATGCGGTTTTGGCAGGAAAGGGAAATATTCCCTGTTGAGCATGAGAACGCTGAAAGTAACATCAGTCAGAAGCAGCAAGCAAGTAGAGGTGAGAATGCAACTAACCAATGATAATAGAGCAGGTTGATGTAGACAAATGCTCGGCAGCCGGTATTCGCATGCGACGCAACACTGTGTTTTGGGTAGTACAGACAAGAATCCATATTACTTCGCCATGTTTCCAGAGATTGCCGACACCTTGCCCATTTTGAATCTGGCATCCAGGGGCATTGTGCGGGCGCACACATCCCGGGTGCTTTCCGTCCATCGTTGTACACAAATTTCATGACTTCTGCATAGATTTCAAACCCGTCAACAAGAATCTCGTAACACTCTTCTATACTGAGAGGCAATCTTCGTTCGGTCATAGCCTTCTGCTTGAATCCGAACAGAAACCCGCTAGCGGGTGGGGCTCGAGGGACTTGGAGCTTCAGCATCTCGGCCATAGATAGCATACGAGGATTGTACGTTCCTGAGTTGATTGTGCAGTCTAATATGAAGCAAGCCCAGTAGGTCGCAGTTTCAACGATTTGGGACAGCTCGCCGGGTCTCTCGACGTCAATAGTCTCATCAAGAGAAAACGGGGCTATTCGAGTGCTATGCAGAGATTGCATGATTCTAATACCGATGCCTGGACTTGACGTAAGCGCTCAAAGTCATTGTTACAACCCTTGCATTCTGATGGCTTACCGCAGTGCACCCAGGCCTTTTGGAAATCTCTCACGCCCCATTCATATAGCGTCAGAATAAGGTGGGCTTGAACGACAACAACTTCCGGGGGCCCGAGCATGGCGTTTGAAAGAATACCGCGAGAGAAAGACGCATACTCTTCGCTTGGAAGGAGCTGCTTCATCCAAGTTCCATCGATGTAGCATTCTTCTTTCTTGATTGCTGCAAGCAAAGCTGCCAGGAGGGCTTTACTATTGGCCACACGCTCCGATAGGAAGAGACGGGAAAATAAATCGGGATGTAGCATGTTCATCTCAGGAAAGTTTGTTCTAAAGACGTGCAAGGCCTTTATGATGGTGCCCATGGGAAGCATCACCAAGTGGCCGTCTACATCATTGCTGAGTGATGTTCCAAGCGTTGGGGAGCTAGGGGCTCCAAGGGCTTGAGTCTCTGTTAGCAGAACTCGGTCTTGACATGCAAAGATCAACTCACCCGGCGTCGTAGACGGTTCAACGTCTGTAACTCGAGCACGGGCAGCAGCGCGCCTGATTGGCTTGACGCGAGGCCGCGAAAGCTGGCAATCTGGGTATCCAAACTTGTCGCACCGCTCGCATGGTGGACTGCCGCTGTGGATGCACCTAAGTTTCGATTTGCTATAACCATTCCGTCAGAGTTCAGAACAGAGAATATGGGAGATTTTCTACCGGCAGGCTTCGCAAGAAACGCTGGTTCGCATTTCGGAAATAATTGGGTGAGTCGTAATTGGGGTGAAGTTGAGAAGAGAAACTGGTTTGATACCCGAGCTCATTGCCGACCAAAGCCTCCAAACCCGATCTGACTAATCGGGAATGGTGCAGGAACTCGATGCATGATTGGTTAATAAGCACAATATGGCTTATCGCCGTATCGCAGGCTTTGGCTCTGCAAGATTCACATGAGATTGAGAATGAGTGCGCTCTCGTGCTAAACTGCTCCAAAATCATTTCCTTCAGCAAATTTCTCAGTGAAGGCTTACAGTATGTCTTCAGATTTGTTTTGGCAGTTGATAGAAGTAAAGGCCCCAATGCTGCTTATGGCCTTGCTTCGTTGAGCCCATGGTCTCCATGGAGCATCAACCAGCTCAGAAACCTCTCCTTCTACCTTAGCCTAATAATCCAACACTACCTCTCAAAGTGAGTCGGAAGATGTATGGTCAGATTTCTATTAGCAAATATGCTGCAGGAAAGGTGGAGTGATTCAACTCGGCATCCTTATGTTGCATCTTACCTCTGGTAAACTTGAGATACCTCGACCAAATCAAGCTAATGAAGACACTTTAAGCGATTGTCGGGTATTCTGGGTTTAGGTTGCTTCAAAATGAATAACTGAGCACCATTGGCTGTGTAAATCTAGCAAGTTTCCAGATCAAACAGCCCCTCTCTAAAGGCGGGTCTCGGTGAATTGTAACCTCTCTCCTATCAAGGAACCCCTCTTGTTCCTGCCACTGTCAATCAGTCATCAACAAGTTACATTGCATCGCCCCGCCGGCTGGGCAAATCTGCCTAGTGCCGCAGCATCTCTCGCAACATCCGCGTTTTCCGGGCCCTTTGTCAAAAAGCCGCCGCCGACCGGGACCGCCAAGCCGGTGACTTTCTCGCCGGGGACCCCCCGTGGACCTTTTGCTCGTCGTAACCCATGCGCTGCGCAGTCTCTCCGTCTCCACCAGGGACCGCCTGAATAAGCTTTTTGATTCTGCCCGTCCCCGGGGTAGTTGACCAGGTTCTCCGTTGTTCACTGAGACGATTCTGTCAGATGACATGCCATTTGGCCCCATCGACAGAGAGACAACAACGGCGTGTGCATAGTACGAGGGGCTCGTAATTGGTCCTACATTAAGCTTCCCGTTTGCATGTGAAAGCTGCGATACCCACTGTAACGTCGAGCTGAGCACTTTCTCTCTGGATAATCAGAAACGGTAAGTCCTTCGTCCCATGCGATTTGTAGGTTTCAATAAGCACTGGCGAAACTTTGAGGAGGCATGCTCAGCTGCGCTTGTAAGGCTCAGGTTAGCGGATCGAGCCCGACGGATGGCAATGGTGTGCTGCTTAGGGAAGCAGCGCTAGAGAAGTTGGTAAAAACTTTTTCATTGTTCAATTTCAAGGGCTGCCTATGCCTGGGCCATGCTATCTGGGGTGTCTCAAGCTCCATGGGTAGTTCTCTCTGCATGCCGTGAAATGCCGTCGCCCAAACTCCGACTCCGGTGCCGTGGGCCGTGAAATACAATCCAGATTCTATAGATGCACGCAGCGCGCAGATGCGCAAAACAGTGAGGTCCAATCTCTTTGATCAACGTGATAATTCATTTCGGGTCTTCTGGCGTGGTTCTTGCCAAAGCTCAGTTCCTGGGCTTGAGCACCACCTTCCAGTGACCAGTCGCAAATTGCATGGTGATGTACTGGCGGAAGTCAATGTCCTGTCCAGGAACTTCGAGAACGTCGAATCTCTGAAGCAGGTTGGCTGCGACCATTCTCATCTCGGCCCATGCAAAGCTAGAGTTCTGTCAGAATGAAGATCAACAGCAGAGGGGAAAGCATAAACATACTTGATACCGATGCAAGAGTGCTTGCCTCCAGAGAAGGGGTAGTAAGCATCCATGCTAGTGCAAATGTTAGTCGCTTCTGGAAGAATTCTGGACAGAACCCAAATGCCGTGGCCACTTACTCGGGAGCGGGAGCACCTTCGCGCTTGTCCTCGGCCAACCATCTCTCAGGCCAGAAGCGCTCAGCCTGGGGCCAGAACTCTTCGTTGCGGTGCAAGTCGCGGTATGAGGCAGAGACGACGGTGTGAGGAGGAAGGTCGTAGCCGCAGAGATTGACCCACTGGTTACCAGTGCGGCGGCCCATCTCAGAAGCGATGGGGTGCAGGCGGAGGTTTTCCTTGATGCAGGCCTCGAGGTACTCGTACTCGGGCTCACTGCGGACTGCTTTGCTGGTGACGATTTCGTCGTTGAAGCCCTTGGAAGGGAGCGAGGCGAACAGCTTGGCGCGGACGTCGGGGTTGCGTGCCAACTCGAGGAAGAGGCAACCGATGGTGCCGGATGTAGTCTCGGAGCCGGCGAGGAGAATTTCTGCCATCTGGTCGACAATGTCACGAGCGTTCATGGTAGTACCGGTGTCAGGCTTCTTTCCTTCCTCGATCAGATGCTGGAGAAGATCGCGGCGTTCGATATCGTGGGTGCGTTTGCGGCGTTGGACGACGGCGTCGATGGCGGTAATCATTTCGGCGGGCCAGTCGAATTGGATATCAATGCCGAATGAGCGGAAGAACTTCTTGACGTACACAGTCTGCAATCAATCAAAGTTAGGCAAACATAATCGCTTATAATACTCGAAAGTGTAGGTCTTACTTGGTATCTCTTGCTAAGACCATCGAAAATGGAGCGGGGAATAGACTTCCAGATTCTCTCGTCGACACCGTCTTCAATCATACTGTCTGGGTTGGTCTGGCCAAAGCCCTTTCCGAAGGAACATTCTCCCATACTGGTTCACATTAGCAGTGAAGCTTTAACCGAGGATGCCTTCTGAAACCTACATATCAAGAGCAACATTGTGGAGATCGTCCATCAAGTCAACTTCGATGCCCTTCTTGGCGTAATAAACAGGGTCGGCGTTGATCTGCGTCTGGTACTTGTTGAGAAGATCACGAACAGTCGTCTTGAAGAACATCTCGAGATTGTCGATGTAGTTGACCGTGAAGGCGGGTGACAAGAAACGCTTGAGGCGCTTGTGCGGCTCGGGGCGGCTGTAGAGATAGGACTTAGTCTTAGACCACGCTGTCGTAGGGTCACGCAAATACTCACATTTCACCAAAGAGACCAGGGCTGAACTTATCGCGAGAAATCTCAGCGTACATGGCAACCTTGGGAAGGTCGGTCTTGACCAGAATCGTCTTCATGGCCTCCTTGTCTGAGATCCAGACCTGACGAGGTCCAAGACGCACAATGCCACCATACTTCTTGTGACTTGTTTGCACCAACTTCCAGATGTTTCCAGTAGAGAAGAGATATTGGAGGTGAAGGTTGGTCAAAGGGGCATACCATGGGCCCGGGACCTTTCTAAGAGGGGACTTGTAGTTGTTGATCTTGTGCTTGATCTGAATACCGGCGAAGATGACTACCGCGAAGTAGATCGCGATCATGTAACCCGAGGCCATGTTGTCTGAGACTTAGACAGATGATGTCCAAGTCAATGCTTTCAATCTCAATGAAGTGAACGACTGACAATATGGGATGATGGGTTTTGAAGTACTGGACCAAGCGAGAACGACCGATCAATGTGAGAGACACTGACACTACTTGTACCAGAGCCGACTGACGATCACTCATGGCATAGTCCAGCCGGACCTTCCACTCGGTATTGCCAATATAGGATGAACACTCATTACTTTCCTCCCGCCGGACTGCTTCCAATACCGTCTTGCGTGCCTCTACAAGCCAACCCAGGCCGGAGCATACGGCCGTGGCCCTGGGTCTCGAAGCTGATGCGATTTGCACGACTCAGGCCCTATCCAGTATTCGCACCTATGTGAGGCTGTTGTGATGCGCTGTTTCAACCCGTGTGAACTCTATTAAATTAAGTCGGACGACGGGGTAGCTGCCCCATGCTTCCTTGGACCCTGGGAGGATGTACGGTGGTGTGCATCTCCAAGCCCCAGCCCGAGGAGCTGGCGCGAATCGGGAGGTCCAGATTCGGGTTGACATGACTGGGCTTCCCTTGACTAAGCGCCTGCGTGTCATGCGAAGAAGAGACAACATGGGGGATATGTTGCATTCGATTTCTGAAATCTCACGTATTACCTGTAAACTTTATTCAAGATCGAAGAGACCCTAGTTCTCCGTACGGGAGCCCGTACGGTCGCTGATCGTGCTCTGGTCTAGGCAGTTTCCCAAAACGGCAACAAAAGCACTGGAGGTTATTGACAGCAGGCCTGCGGCGCGGCGCGGCGTACATACGTAACACCAAGTGATGAAGGACCGTCGGACTTGGCCTGCAAAACTTCTCAGATAGTCGCCGACAAATTGCGTGTTCACAGTTGAGCCATGGTTTCAAGTGAAATTCCAGCCTTGGCCAGCCATTTTGTCTAGATTTTCTTTGTCTCCGCAACTAATTCTAATGCTTGCCACTCTCTAGCGAACTCTAACTCTTGCGGAGTTGAACCAAAAAAGTCTATGTCTATCACTTTGTCTATTTGCGTCTAAAATCAAAAAGGGGGAGCTTTACGAGTTGTTTGTGGCAACTCTCTATTTGGCCCATCTCATGCGGCCAGGGCAGGTCGGGTCGTTCTCGACGTACTTGAGACTGCCGAAGACAGACCAGAGCTGACCCAGGAAGCTGCGCTCATCGGAGTGGTACAGGTCACCGAGGAGGGGCTTGATGGCCTCAGTGGCCTCATCGGCCTTGTAGAAGGGGATGCGACTGAGCGATATTAGCAATGAGAACTTATAAGTGTTTCAAGTGAGGAGCCAATGATCTTACGGGAAGAGGTGGTGAACGACGTGCTTCTCGATGATACCGTGGAAGAGGTGCTTGCCAACGAATCCGAAGTCGCGGTCAATGGTGGCCAGGGCACCCTTGACGAAAGTCCAGCCGTCCTCGTTGTAGTGGTAGACGTCAGGGTGGTTGTGGTGGAGGTAGGTGATAGCAACTGAGGGGTATCGATTAGCACTCTATCAAACGCGCAAACGCTCGAAAACTCTAATGAGTTCCGGGGTGAAGAGTAAGAGAAAAGGGTTAGTGCATACCGAGCCAGTGGTGGACCCAGAAGTATGGGACAGCGTAGAGGAGGAGAACAGTGGAGACGTCCAGGATCTGGGCGGCCTTGTAAAGGATGGAGAGAGTGATGGCCAGGCCAAGGTCGGAAATGGCAATGAAGATAGCCTCATTGGGACGGAAAACGGCGCTGAAGGGGTCGAAGTGGCTGACGTTAATCCAGCGTCCAAGAGCGCTGACCTCGCGCTGCTTGCTGCCCTTGCCGGCGGTGGCGTTGAAGAAGAGGTACATCTGCCATCCGAACAGCTGGTGGCCGATGAGGTTCATGAGCTGGAGGATGGGGGTGTCCTCGAAGAGCTCGTGAAGGTCGATGGCGCCAAACAGGGGCTTCTTGGAGGTCTTGGGCTGAGTGGCGGGGACGAAGGCCATGTCCTTTTGCATGTGACCGGTGAAGCGGTGGTGACGGTGGTGAGAGAACTTCCAAGAGAAGTAGGGGACCATGAGGGAGGAGTGGAGCACCCAGCCGACCACGTCGTTCAACTTCTGGTTCTTGGAGAAGGCACCATGGCCGCACTCGTGACCCAAAATCCAGACACCGGTGCAAACGAGACCCTGGACGAAGCCGTAAATCATCCAGGCGGCACCGCGGACGATGGGGTCCTGGATGGCGGGGATGTAGGTGAGAGCAGCCCAGACGAGGGCGGCCACCATGGAGTAGTCACGGAAGACATAGTAGAAGGACGTCCACAGCGAAGGCTCAAAGCAGTGAGCGGGAATGGCGTCCCTGATGGTCTGGATATCAGGGTACTCAGGCTCAGAGGTCTTCTGGAATGAGGGTCAGTTCGGTTCATCGATCGAGATGGCGGTCCGGAAGGAGGCTCCCGACTAACCTGCTGGGGCTTCTCGACCACCGCGGTCGTGGTACGTTGACGAGCCGCCATTGTGTGACAGGTGCAACCTGGGATGTGTGAGATGCTTCTGTCTATAGGTTGGCGTATATGAGATGAACAGAAGTCTCCTCAGGTTCAAGGCAGAGAGAGAGTATGAATGTCGACGGAGCAAAGGCACCAGATGAAGCTGGGGGAGGACGGGAAAAAGGTGAAAATTCTCGCTTGCCCGAGGTAAAATGGGTAGGTGCGATTATCGCTTTTGCGGAAGGGGGGATGGGAGGAAAAAAAAAACTACTGCGTAAGGGACTTGGCTGTCACCGCCACGGCACATGCAACGACGTGTCTTCTCCTTGTTCTTTTTTCGTGAGGGACCCAGCGCCAACCTAGACGGCAGTGGGTCAACGTCGGTTCCATGGTCAGGGACGTGGACGATCTGCTGAATAGGGGTCCAAACAGTCTGGACTTTGTTGCCCACATGCATTGCCGTGGCCGGCAGAAAAAAATTACGATGGTCAGTGTGCCAATGGCAAGTGTTTGGAATCGCGCGAGTGTCAGCCAAAGACGTGACTCGCGGCCAGGGCCAACCTTGTGGCCGCCGGCCGATAGCCTCGCAGAGCCTCGGACCAGACGCCTTCCGCAGTGCCCTTCATGACTCAAAATTGGTTCTGTCAAAGCCACCTCTTCTTTGTCCTCTGCTAGAATTACTCAGGAGAAGCGATGAAGAACTTGGAGCCGCGTGGTGGCGCGGCGACCGCCTGCCCATTCCGTTTGTCTCTTGATGCGTTGTCCCTGAGGATCCAAAACCGACTGCGACACTGCAACATGCACACACCGTATATCGCAGAGATAGAGAGACACAGAGAGGCAGCCCACACTTGCCCGCCTTTCGCAGGCGGTGAGCAACGCTCTCTCACTCTGTTGAGACCCGCGGATCTGTCGTGCTGTTTTGAATCTTTCGATCCATGCATATCCAAGAAGAGGCTTCCTCGGTTAAACAGGACTAAACGCTATCAGGCCTAGCGGGCGAAGATATGCCAGGGTTCGGCTCCACGTGCGAATTGCAAGAGGCTTGGAAAACCCACAAAGAAGGCACCCTCAACCCCAACACTTTTACCCCTGGCTCTCTGCGACTTCGTACGGAAAGATTGACCCCCACTTTGCGTTTGAGCTTGAACCTCGTTTAAACGTCTCTTCCAACGCGGGTGGGTGGTGGCCACAGGACCCTGAGAACCCCTCCTTCTGCTGTTGACAGAGGGTTTTTTTGGGCAGACTTCATTGGCCAATTCCTGCGACTCTCTCTCCATCTTCTCCAACCGCCCCAAGACCCCAAACCGAACCGCGTGTCCCCAAGTGTTCTCAAAACAAGGGACCGTGCGATAACGTCGCGACCCACTCGGGGAAGATCGGGCACTGCGTAAGAGGGGGGAAACTCGGGTTCGGATAGAAAGGTACAGAGAGAAGCACCACATGCCATGGGCTCTTCGGGTTCATATATCTGCGCAAACTCTCCTTTTCGTGGCGTCTCCAGCTGCGCCTGCGCCGTTACCTATCCCAAGTTGCCCATCACCATCAAGCCCAGGCGCAAGGGTAGGGCGCACGGGAATGTCGGCGCACGGTCGCTGAGAGATTCCAGCAGCAGTGATCCGGCGCAATCAAAAAAGCTTAAACGGCTTCTTTGTGGGTTTCTAGAAATGAGGCTGCGAGAGACAGGCTTCTAGGGCAAACCTACCTACTGTGTACCCTCCCCCCACCCTGGGGTATAAGTGGCCTATTATTTATTTGAATTTCTTATATTAGTCTTAGTATACTACTTTATCCCTTAACTTTTTATCCTACTCTCCTTATACGATCTAAGTGATTAATAAGGCCCTTAGTAGAGTAGCTCTATAAATAATATATTTATTACCCTAGAGAATTATAATAAAATTCTAATCTATTTAATCTAGTCCCCCCTATTAATAGTTCTTATAGGTATAGTATAGAACTTATATCTCTAAGTTTATTAACTATAATTTAGCTTACTTCTAGAAGTAAGTATTAAAAATAAATATAGTAATAGTATCTTTATTACTAAGCCTAATAATACCTATAAGGAACTTTTATACTCTTCTTAATTATAGTTTTTATATATTTTAAGTAATTACTTAAAAATTAATATATATAGTACCCTCTAAGTTAAAGTTATTATTAAAGTTATTAAGTTATTAATCTACTATTATATTATTTAATAGATATAGAGTATTAGTTACTTACTTTACTACTACTCTCTTTATATAAAGTAAAGTTCTTATAACCTTAGTAACTAAGGTTATTATAAGGAAAAGTTATTTATACCTTATTTACTTTATCTTTATCTCTCTTAAGACCTCTATATTTTCTAGTACTAAGTATAGTACTTCTATGTTCATACTTTAGGTTATATCTATTAGGGTTACTTAGTCCTTTTCTATATCTGTACCTTGCTGTATATTGTACCTCGGTTACCTACTGTGTATTTTCATCTCCTCGCCGACTTCCGTCCTCTTCGTAAATCAGTCCATTTTGCGAGTTGGTCCTCTTCGACGACAGTCACACGTCCCTGCACCTCTGAACTCTATCTGTCGTAACACAGAACACAAGTGAGGATATCCATGAATGATGGCGGACACCGGGGCAACACTCAGCCTCCGACAGAGGCCGGGTACGGCCGTCCATCTGATAATTAGGGAGTGTACCTTGACCACCTGTCTGATTACCGCTGCCATGGACCAGAGTAGTTTTCGGTGATTTATCAGTTGAAGCTGGATGTCGACTTCGCAACAACCCTGGAACCAAGTAACTCGACTCAACCCACCTACAGACCAACATGACAATTCCCAAAGTTAACGGAGCCGACAGCAGAGACCTCGCGGAACTCCTTGAGTTCGTTAGGTTGAACTCATCATACTATGCCAAATTTTGGGAGTCCAGGGGAGTCCAGAAAGAGGCAACAGTCTCACTCAGAGACCTGCCTACAGTTGATCATGAGTCTTTCTGGGAATCCAATACTTGTCTCAACAGCCAAGTCATAACTTCAAAGCAGAAAGATGGTATCATCTTCAAGACTGGAGGTAGGTAGTCCTCGAGTGAAACAGATGAAACTCCGACTCACCGATCTTAGGCACAACCAACCACCCCAAAGTCTCATTTTACGACCAAAAAGAATTTCATGGTCTTTCAACGCAGTTGGCAGAGTCTCTGGCGCGATGTGGTGTTCGCGAAGGGGATATGGTCGCCAACTTGTTCTACGCCGGCGACCTCTACGGCAGCTTCTTGCTTCACATCTTGTCGGTGTATCACCTTTCGTGTGGCGCCATTCAGCTCCCAGTTGCTGGACATGTCGGTATTCCATCAATGGAGAGACACATCGTTGAGTTTGAGGCCACAGTCGTTCTAGCCACAGTCACAACAATGTCGCAGCTGGCAGAGCGCATCCTCGAAGCTGGGAAGACGCACCCCTCCGTGCGGCTGCTCTTGTTCTCCGGCGAGGCATTTTACGACGATCAAGCAGGACTTCTGAAGGCAGCCTTCCCCAACGCAACTATCCGATCCGTCGTTTACGGCTCCATGGACTGCGGAATCATTGGTCTACCGCCAAAGCCCGAGGACTACAACAACGACCCCCGTCTTCACCAAGTCAACAGCCCCAACATCATCGTCGAGATCGTCAACGACGACGGTGAGGTCACGACAACCCCAGGCGAGGCGGGCAGCCTAGTCGTCACGAACGTGGAGCGCCGTCTGATGCCCATTATCCGCTACCCATCCGGCGATCGAGCCGCGTGGGTTGATCCAGCGCTTGGTCTTTTCCGCGTTCTTGACAGGGACCGCACGGCCATCCGCCTCGGCCCCGTCTCCATCGACTTTGTGGACCTGAGACGCATCGTCTCGACGGTTCTCAAAGACAGGCCGGTGGGCAAAATTCAAGCCGTCGTCACGCGCGAAAACAGGAAGGACCTTCTCACTTTGAACGTCGCATACAAGCCGACCACAGACGAGGAGAGTTCGCAGTTGCAGGCAGGGCTGAGAGGAGAGCTCGGGGTGGTGCGGCCGATGTTTCGGGAACACGTCGAGAAGGATTTAGTCAACGAGCTGCAGGTAAACTTTGTCACCATGCAGGAACTCGCTGTCAATCCTAGGAGTGGAAAGATCGCCGAGGTGCTTGACCTTAGGTCAACTACAGTGTAACCTTTACGGACCTCCCACACCACGATGCCTAGAGTTCAGAGTATTGCGTGGTCAGACGTCCATTTAGCCAGCCATAACGTTTTGTTTAATTGGTCGCAATACAACACGAATTATGAGCATGTTAAACGGTCTTGGCATCTATTTGCTTGGGAATGTCAATGAAATAAGCTTTCGTTCTCGCCAAGAGCCGGTGGGACGCTCTTGACACTATTCAGTCTTGTGCATTGGTCGTAAATCCACGCGCGACAGGCGCCCAGGCCCAAACGGATATCACAGCCCGGGACATATCAGGACCCCGCTGGTTGTCTCTTTAACGCGGAAGAGCTCCCCTGTCGCTCCCAGCCCCGGACGAACCGGCCGGTAGTCACTCAATTGCGGAAATTTCCAAATTGGGTCCATCGTGGATACGCGCTTGACTCGCGTGGACCCTGCGCTCCCTCGCATTGAAGGCGCATCGACTCTGATACAGACTTCACATGAAAGTGCTGCTGCGGCCATAAACTCTACTGTATAGTAATCTCGCAACGCTTTGGCAACCAGCTTTACTGCGGCGTTTCCCGCCTGCATATTTCTTCAAAGTGACCCCGATAGCTGAGAAACCGAGTATCAGACCGTTCATGCCCCCCTAGCCACCTTCGCCTCCCGTGGATCGCACGCCTATCCAGTAGCATCCAACACCATCTCGTAAAACCGAGCAAAGCAACGTCGCAGCATGTCCGCCAAACATACCGGGTCACCGAAGCCAGTGCTCCCAAACAAGGGACGCACGGCGGTGGGCAGCCTCGCTCCGTACTGTCCCGAACCTCCCCCCTTTTCTCCCTCCGTTCCCAAGCTGACATCCAAGCCCGAGATAGGTGGGGCGAGCCGGCCTGGTTCAACGCTCTTGAAAGCCCATACTACAATGACTCTCACCGGAGGTTTCAAGCATACGTGCGGGATTTTGTCGACACCCACCTGCTGCCATACGCACAGGAGTGGGAGGCCGCCGGCGAGTGCCCCTTGGCCGCCAGATTGCAGTTCGCCAAGTCCGGTCTTGCTTTCCTGGACGTGCCCAGGGAGTACCGGCCGAAGGAGCTCATGACAATCGCGGGGATCCCATTCGACGAGCTCGACGTCTTCCACGAGCTCATCCTGATGGACGAGATGGCCCGCATCCCCAGCGGGGTGCCCCTCGCGCTGGCGGGGGCGTCGAACGTGGGTGCCCCGCCCGTCTGGACGGCGGGGACCGAAGAGCAGAAGAGACGGTGGCTGCCGGGGCTCTTCACGTGGGAGACGAGTTTCTGTCTGGCCATCACGGAGCCGACGGCCGGCAGTGATGTGAGCGCGATACGAGCTACTGCCGAGAAGACTGCCGATGGGAGATTTTACGTTGTCAACGGGCGTAAGAAATGGGTTACCGGCGCGCCGTGGGCGACTCATATGACTACTGCTGTACGGATGGGTGAGCCTGGTCGAAGCGGTATCTCACTTTTAGTGGTGCCTCTGAACTCGCCAGGCATCACGATCAGAAAGATCCACAACTCCGGCCACAATGCGGGCGGCTCATCGTGGGTCATTCTGGAGAACGTGAAAGTCCCGGTCGATCACTTGCTGGGGAAAGAGAACGGCGCTTTCCCCATCATCATGCGCAATTTCAACAAAGAGCGCTTCATTTTGACGGTGGACTGCAATAGGCAAGCTCGAATTTGTCTCTCGGAAGCGCTTCAACATGCGCACGATCGCGAGACGTTCGGAAAGCCGCTGGCCTCCCATCAAATCATTCGCCATAAGCTTACCACCATAGCGCGTGAGGTTGAAGGACATTGGGCCTGGTTGGAGCAGATAGCATACCACGTAAAGATCCACGGCTGGCAGACCAAGGACGTCGCCAGCAGAATCGCGCTTGCCAAGATCCAGGGCGGCAGAATGGTTGAACAGGCTGTCAGGGAAAGCCAGCAGATACACGGCGGAATGGGTTTCGAGAAAGGCGTGACAATGACTGAGCAAATCTCACGCGACCTGCGTCTGAAAGTCATTGGCGGGGGAAGCGAGGAGATCCTCAGCGATCTTGCATGGCGGGAAGAGCACAAACGGGCTTCAGGCCTGGGCGCAAAACTCTAGGCGCGTGGAAGGTCTGCGTCGAACAAGCTTAAACTGAGTTTATGTAGCCCTGAATCATTTTTTTTTCCCTCTCACGGTGATGAATTAGTTGCCAGTCTAGGACGCTCGGCTTCCTTAGTCGTCGACAATGGTTCGATGAGGAAATGCGAGTCATTGATTGACGGCTGTCTAGGCCTTGGCCTTCCGAGGACGTGGGCAACTCGAACCCAAACATCCACGTGTCGTCCGATATGCTCTTCAAAATGTGACAAAGATATTCGTTTGAGAGTTGTCCAATCTTGAGTTGAAGGTTCCAAGGGCAAAGTCTAAAATAGGACTCGAGATTGCCTACGTGTTGTGGTACGTGGTTGACAGTTGAACAGGCAGCTCCCCCTGTCCACGCCAGCCTCGGAACTAGCCAGAACCCCGCATAACGAAAACGACGCAACTCCATCCAAGCAACCCCTCACATAGACTATCATTCGAAAATTTGTTCACCGCAATTGCTATGCTTGACTAACGGTCACACTCAGCGCCTTCCCTTTCGCCATGACATCCGAGGCCGTCAAGTCGCATCCGGAGTACCAACACTTCGCATCCATTCCATGGTGCGCAAAAGTCCTCGCCAAGTTCGACTCGCCCGCCCACGTTGTCCAAGTATCGGCGAATAGGACAATCTTGCCAACAAAAGAGAACTCATATGTCGGCGGGACTCTCAACACACCGAACACCATCATCGCCTGGCTCGTGCTGCACCCGCGGCCACAGCCGCCAGATTGGAAGGTCGACGAGTTGTGTTCGCTCATCACCCTGAAAGATGGCATGATCGGTTTTCCCGAGGCGGCTCATGGAGGGGCCGTTGCGTTGATTTTGGACGAAGTCACGGGCATGACCATTGTGGCACAGAGACCAGAAGGCGCGGAACCCAACAAAGACTTCCGAACGGCATATCTGAATACAACCTTTCTCAAGCCGGTCCCTGCGCCGGGCACGATTCTTGTCAGGTCCAAGATCTCCAAGATCGAGGGGCGGAAGAACTTCGTCAGTGCGCAGATAGAAAATCAGAACGGAGAAGTTCTGGCCAAGGCAGAAGTTCTGTACGTCTCGATACGAACCAAGCTGTAGAAGAAACAGCTTTAATTGGACGTGGTCTCGAAGGGCAGGGTTGGCGTTGCATACAGGTATTCTGCTCAGAAGACGAGTCAATTAATCTGCCCTCGCATTCATAGACTTAGAGACCGAAGCATTTATTGGAGCCGGTAGAGACAATTGATCGAGTTTACTCAACTCATCCCCAAAACAGCTGGAACAGCCATAGTTCCAGCAGGCTTCCTTGGTCAAGTCTGAAGTTGTGAAGCAATGACTTTGACTACGTACTCATGTTCAAGCCTTGCTATTCCGGGTTTCATGCTCAAGGCGCGACTAACTTCATGGCTGCGCTATTTCGAACTCATTCTGTTATTCAACAAGAAAGGGCCAATTATTGAGCAGACAGCGTTAGTGGGTGTCAGTCATGTTGGCTCTTATCCGGTTTTGACACCGCTCAATGTGTCAATGTCTGGCTAGGAACTATGAAACCATTGTATCTGGATGACTGCGGGTACGATAGAATAAACTAGCTACCCAATTTCAGGCAAGCTTTATGCTCGAACAGACTACCTCAACATGTGGTCCAACCTACGTTCGCTCCTCTTCTTTGCCCTTTTGCTACGAGATGTCGCTACAACGATGTTCAATCGGGAAGCATCAAACGTACCACATGATGACAAAGGTTTCTCGAAAATTCGTGTCTTGAGTGACGTCTGATGTGTTGTGTAAAACATGCTTAGTCGAAAGGGGCAAACTTCTAGTGTTGGTTGTGGGGGTAATCCGAGCTCATAGTGGAATTTTCATTGGATGGAGAGTGGCGATACTGGACCGGCCCAACCCACAAGCGGACCGCCCCGCGTACAACATCACGCCAGTGGGAGCTGGAAAGCACCTCCAAATAGTTCTAAAACTAGATAGGACCACATGGGCTGATAAATGCGAGTGCCGCTTACAAATGAAGACGCGATGTCCGTGGAAATAACTCCCACATGGACAACGGCTCACTGTATCAGCATATATCATGTCTACAACCACTTCTGTCTTGGTATTTGACATCCAGAAGAATACAAGCAACCGGAGAGTCCTCTGAAACTACTATCATAACTCTTTTGCTTAGCCTGACAACAGTCTTTAGCCTCCTCATCAACACGTCGTTCACGGACCTGCCCGACTGCAACTCTACATCCCAAATCGCAACCATGACCCTTCCCTACAGCAAAGTTCTTCTCATCGGAGCCACTTCTGGCATTGGTGCTGCTCTTGCGGACAAACTCGCTGAGAACGGCATGTTCGTTATTGCTGCGGGAAGACGAAAGGAGAACCTCGACAAGTTCGTCGCCAAACACGGTACCCACAGGGCCGCAGGAGTACCTCTTGACATTCTCAAGCTTGATTCGGTAAGCCAAATTGGACTTCAACCCATGACGTTCTCGGTCTAACCTCATCCTGTAGATCCCGCAGTTCGCAGAGTCGATCATCAAGGAACACCCTGATCTAGACTGCGTCTTCCTCAACGCCGGAGTCCAACGAGGCATTGATTTCACGATCCCAGAGTCCGTGGACCTTGACATCGTATACGATGAGCTCTTGGCAAACTACCTTTCCCATGTTCACCTCACCAAAGCCTTCCTGCCGCACCTCCAAAAGCAGAACAAGCAAACGGCTTTGCTTTACACCACCTCTCAGCTCGGCCTCATCCCGATGAAGCGCTGCCCCAACTACAGCGGCTCGAAAGCTGCCATGCATGGCTTCATTCTCGCAGTCAGAGCCCAGCTGAAGTCTAGCGCTAGCAAAGTCAAGATCGTCGAGGTGTACCCTCCCGCAGTCCAGACCGAGCTCCACGATGCCAAGAACCAGCCGGACTTGAAGAATGGGCATGAGATTGGCATGCCCGTAAATGAATTCGTGGATGAGTTTTACGAGAGATGGGTCGGTGGAGAGGAGCAGATTCCTGTTGGAACAGCGAAGCCGATGTTTGAGGCTTTTGAGAACAAGCGCCAAGAGTACTTTGGCACCTTCAACGCCCAGATGGACGAGGTTCTGGTTGACTTCACGGCATGAATAGCTAGATTGCCAGCGATGTTGAAAAGTTAGTTAAGAGGATAGACAAAATGTGTGTGTTTCAGTTGCGCCAAAGATACCAACAATAGCAGGCGATATAAGGGCACCATTTCACGATCTTAGTCTGATGCAGAGGTTCTACAATTTTAGTTCCCATGATCTATTTGAGCTTAGCTGCCAATTACGTGAAAGATTCGTCTCCTAGGTTCACTAGGCCTGATAGGTACATAAACTAAACCTTCCTCCATGCTACGCAGTCTATCAAAAACGTCAAAGAAGCCGATTGCGAGGCCCTTCTCTCGCCACATTTACTGCGACCAGACGGTGCTCCAGTCATCCCATGTTCACGTGGACTTGCAGAGGAATCGACCTTTCCACGTCCTACTTTCCATCCACGAAGAAGAACCAGGCAGGAAGCTGCTGCAATGTACATGAAACCTGTGAATTGCTGTGATCCAAGATAGCTTCCTGTTCCTGAATAGATTTGCAAGGCAATTGGCTCGCTAAACGTTGCAGGCAGCACCATGCTTAGCCACATCAGGTTTAAACCAGACGGAACATGGTTCAAGCCGAGAACCTCGGCCATCAGCGGTGCAATAGTAGCCCAGAAGTTCCCTGCAACCAGCCCCTCGCTGACGGCGAAGAAGACTAGAAGCCCGAAGCTTTTCGCATTGACCCAGACTGCGAGAGAGAGTAGCCCAGCAAGGAACGTCATCGACGCAGCCATGTTCATCCGCCCGACGCTATCGCTGAAGTATCCAATCAGTGGTCGACCGACGGCCTGCGCAAAGTTGAAAAGTGCGCTTATAAGAGCGCCGTCGGAGGCTGGCAAGCCAATCTCAGTTGCGTAGCTCGCGAGACTGAAGATGAGGACGAAGTATCCTAACATTGTGAAACCGCCGAACCCGAGGAGTAGAAAATACTCTGCCTTCTTGAAAAGCGCAAGTTCGAAAGTAGATTGTTTCGAATCAATCGCTTTCTTACGGTCGCGTATCAAAATCGTGCAGGTTGTGTTGACGCAAAAACCGATAATTCCCAAAATTCGAAACGTCCACTGAAGACCCAGGCTTCTGATCATTGCACCCGCGGCAAGTGCATACACTCCCCCGCCGAGTCCTGCGCCTGAAAGCGAGATACCGGTGGCCAACGATCTTTTCGTGGTGAACCATTGGGGAACGACAGCCGCGGTCGGGATGAAAAGGAGACCAACCCCGATGCCAAATAACACTCCTTGAGTCAAGAAAAGATGCCATATCTCCGATGATAGACTGGCCAAAAGCAGGCTGGCTGTTTCGAGAACAACTCCGCAGAACATCGTGGGCCTGATCCCGTACCTCTGAATACATTTCGTTGCGACAGGGGAGATAAGCAGGAGACAGGTAAGGCTTAAACTTGCGGCGAAGGCGTACTCCAGTGGCGATGAACCTGAAAATATATCGTGTTCCAGATAGTATGCCAGGAAGACGGCGTATGCCGAGTTGAAGCCCCATGAATGGCCATTGACCACTGCTGCTGCTACTGTGCAAACCCAACCGTAACCTCCATTTGGGGGCAAATATTCTGTCTGTTCGTCCTGAGAGCTATTGTCGTTGAAAACAGAGTTCGCTGGTTGGCGGCGCAGCTTTGATGCTGGAAGCTTTGATACTGGAATAGTTGTCTTAGTCGGGTTGGGTATCGAGGTATTACTTTGGACGAATGACATGATGGGGGCGGTGTTGATTCAGTACGTGGTTTGCTGGCTGGCTCAGAGTCATGCCTTGCAGTTTCGAAGGGCATGTCTAGAAACTTCATGTATTTTACATTTACTTCGCACGAGACTTGAATCTTTTAAAGATACGGTCGGAACCAGAGGCTAGGCCCGAAATACTAGGCCGCGGCGTTTAGAAAAGAGTCCGTTCTGTAGCACAACATGAATTCCGATTCAAACCCGAGCGAAAGCCGCATGGGCCAATCAGCAAGGTTCCCTTAACCGCACTCCCAAAAGTCGAATTCGTTGTCAAGAAAAGCCTTTTTAGAGATTACCTGGTTCTATTCCATCTACAGGGTACCCGAATAATTTCTGGACTTTTTCCCCTGAAAGCCATGTCTACCTGAGGCCTCAAGCAAATCTCGTGGGTTCCAACTTGAAGTCAGCTCGGTCTGCCATCTCCACCTGGGAGACCTCTCTGGGGCCATTTTCTCCTTCGGAACACCCATCGTTGTCATGGCCTTCCTCGGCAACTCGCCACTTCCGAAATGGTGTAAATTCGTCCAGACTGCCCTCGAGCTGATTCTTGACGTGCTGCGAACCTTCTTAGCTTACATTCGGTGCTACTGCTTGAATGATAGAGACGGGAGTTGTTGGGTCTATAGACGCACTTACTTTGCCCAGTATGGGGAGGAATTTGAACGCATGATCTCTGAAAACTGTATGTCAGATTTGAAGCATTTGGATGACGGAATGGTCACAAACTTACGATCCTCCAGCACAGATGAACAGAGACTTTGAGTACCCAGGTACGTAGTCAATGACATACTGTGGACGTTAACAGAAGCTCGCTGGAAGGTTGGTGGGCTAACTCACATCATTGTCAATGCTGTCCGTATACCAGCATAGCTGTTTTGTTTTCATTGGCAAAGGGACACATATTTCAGAGGATTCGGACCACTTACTCTGCTATCCGTGAAGCCGAACTCGACCAAGTCGGGGAAAACCTCGGCGGTGACTTCTTTCATGCTGCACAGGCCGTAAAGAGGCACCGTGTCGATCGGTATTTCGGTGTATTTGGTACGGGTTGTTGAGATGCGACTGCACGCGTCAAGTTTGGATCGGAATGAGGACCCTAGGGAAAGCTTACAGATTTGGTTCCGTGGGATAATCTTGAAAGTTGGTGAACTTAGCAAGCGTCGTAATTAGCAGACAGTATTATGCAGTTTCACCGAGAGGTTACCAACCTTGTGGCCGCGAAAGCCGAACTTGAGTCGGCCTTCTTTGCTGATGGAAAAGCCACCGCCCTGGTAATATCTGCAGAAGCCATTAATGATTCTGACGAAAGCTATGTATTCTGTGCAGAACTCACTGATCACCGTCTCCCTTGCGGTAAGACCACACTGGATAGTTATCCGGGGGAAACTTCTCCCTCAGATCCTTTCTCTCCTTGGGGATGTCGATGAACATAACGGTTCCGGCGGTGGCTTCAACCGTACGATGAGCCTCGGGGATGATAGACGCAGTACAACTGCCAGCTGCAGATATGCATCAGCGCATGCATCCAAAATATCGTTTGTCAATATCATACCAGCAACAATCACAAGATCTCCGTAATGGCTGATGCCGTCCCGGGTTTGAAGACCGGTCACCTTTTTGTGGCCACTCTTTTCCTCGATAATCAACTCCTCAAGCTTGCCCTGAGGATCACCCAGGACGAACTTGATCCCCTCCTTCTCGCACAAGAAGCAAGCGTAGACACAGGCCTGGACTGTGGACACTGGAAAGTTGACAAACGTAATCAAGCTTCCCATGGACGTTAACGACGAAGCAATTACGCTAACTGTTGCGATACCCTCAATCTGAGCCGTAGCCTCACCGCCTGTCATGTGACGTGCGGTATTACGTAAGACGCGCGTGTGAATATTAGCTTATGATGTAGACCACCTTTCTGAATAGTTACTCCTATAATACACCTTTATTTCTAATAACCTATACACTTATAACTTATAAGAGTTATAAGCCTAGCTCTAATAATAGCTTAAATCACCCCTCTACTATAAGTTATATATAAGAAACCTATTCCTATCTTTTTATTAATTCTTTTATTATCTTTATCTACTATATCCTCTATTAATAATAAAATTCCCCTTATAGGAGATATTTTTATATTAAGAAGTAATTAGTTTACATAGTATACTTATTTTAAGTTCTATATATACTTAAGAGGCTTTTAAGACTATATTAACCTAGATATAGATAATTATACTAACCTTTTATAAGTAACTATAGCTCTAAAGATCTCTAAATTTATTACTAAGTACTAAACCTTCTTAAATATAAAATACTAAAAGGAATATAATAAATAAATAAAGTAATATCTAGAGGAGGCTAAATATCTAGTAGAGGCTATTAAAAGTATATTAAAGAATACCTATTTAACTATAGAGATTTAAGGAAATAAGGAGGAAATAAATATTATTCCTAATAAGTTAAGAGGATTATCCTCCCTCTTAAAGTCTCTATAAATACTTTAGACTACTATTTATAAAGATATTAAATTAGAATATAATATAGTAATTAAAGATTATATAGTAACCTCTTTAGATTAATAAACCCTCTTAATATATCACTTTAATTTCTAAATATAAGTTAATAAGATAGTTTTAAACTTTATTCTAATTAATACTAAATTAGCTATTTTAAATAATAAAACCTAATTAGGGGTAACTCTATAGGTATTTATATATAAGATTAAGAGATAACTTATACCTACTATACTTATAGTTACTAATATAGTTTATAAGAACTATCTTTATTTACTTAAAAAGGCTAATTTAAATATTAACCTCTCTATTTAGTATATAGAGTAATATTATTACTATATAGAAATAAAAAGACTTAATATCTTAGAGATCTAAGGAGAACTTATATTATAAACCTTCTTTAAAGTAGTTAGATACTAACTTACTCTAGAGTAAGCTTATACTAAGCTTATATAGCTTATTATAAATATTAGTTTAGGGTTTCTAATATACACTTTAGAGTAGTATAAGATTATCTTCTTAGCCTTAACTTATAAGTATTTATTTATTAAGGGGTTTTAGAGATTAAATATACTATTTATTACTTTAGGAGGGAGGTTTAATAACCCTTCTAATATATATCTTAATAGCTACCTATATAGAGAAGAGTATCTTTAGACCTCTAAAGCTTATAGACACCTAGAGTATACTTATAAAAGGTCTTATAAGTTCTACTAGATCTCTATAGATAATAATAAAGCTTAAGAAATCCTTTTTAGGCTTAATTAAGGAGAGTAGATAAATACTAAAGCTATAATTATATAAAAAGGATAGATCTTAAACTAAATAAGTAATACTAACTATAGAAGAGGTAGCTTATATAGTAGAAGAGGCTAGTAGTATAGAAACTATAGGGGAAGAAGTAGTTAGAATAGTAGATCTAATTAGAGGTTAAACACTAGAGTCCTATTTAATATTATAGCTATAGTAATTAATTTATAAAGTCTTCTTAAAGTGTTTATATTAAGGATATACTTACTTAATACTTCTACCTTATTATATATCTTCTTATATAATATAGTCTATAATAACTATAATGCTATATATTTAGTTAATAATAAATCGCTATTACTAGATGACTTCTATATAGAGTCTAGCTTAGAAAACGTTATAGAAGTAGGTATAACTTAGATTCTAATTTTAAGCTAAGGAACCTATATTCTTAAAGGGATTTTTAAAAGCTAAGATAGATAGGCATTAGGTAACCTTATATTTAAGGATATTATTTATATTAAAGGTTTTTATATTAATATTATATCTAAAAGTCAACTTAATACATAGAAGATCTAGTTTTATAGACTTAATTATACTTTACGTATAGGAAACCTTACTTAAAGCGTAGTTATTACTATACTAATCTAAAAGTATAATTTAGTCTTCCTTAAATATAACCCCCTTTCTTTATACCCTCTTAAAAGCATATTAGTAAGTTTTATATATATTATTACTATAACCTAGCTAGTAAAAGCTTTTTATAAATAAGATATATATAACTATTATAGAGATTAATTAGATAATACATATTTATAATATCTTCATTCTAGCTATTTAGGCTTTAAGGCTTTTAAATATATAGTTAAAAACGTTTAGAGGGTGAAGATATATAGTTTAATATAGATATAATGCGAAATATATACTAGAACTTATATAAAGAAGGTTATCTTATATTTAAAATCAGAAAATAAAGCGATTTATCTATATTATTATATTTTCTAAGATATTTTCTATTACCCTTTTAAAGTAATCTTAAGAGCCTTTTATATCCTAATTATTAAGGATAAATACTTAGGTAAGCTATAGGGGTTCCCTCTAATATACTACTTACTTAAAGAAATCTTTATAGTACTTTTCTACTTTAAATAATAGGTTAGAAAGTAATATAGATTAGTAATTTATATTATCTACTAGGATAATAAGATAGCTATAATTACTATTAATAGTAGTATATACTATTAATACTAAGTAAAGAATAATAGAATTATACTTAAGATACCTCTAATAGATATAAAGGAGCTAATAAGTAGTTTAAAATATACTAACTAAGAGGTGATCCTAAGAGGTATTAAGATATAAGAAGGGGCTAATCTTCCCCTAAAAATATAACTAAAATTAACTTTTATAGAGATTTATCTTTTTAACTAATCCTTATAATAAAAGACTAATTAGAAGTCACTAAATTAAATTAAAGAAGAATAATATACTTAATACTTCTAGTAGTAAGCCTCTTTCTATATATCTATAATTAAGAGAGACTTTTAGCTATACTAGGGATAGATATATATATATAGTTATTATATATACCTACTTAAAAAGGAATAAGAAAAAGGATAAAGAAGAAAGCACTATAAAGTATATCTATAGGGATATATTAGATACCTAGTTAGATATATTAATAACGTATATAACTTATATAAGATCTAAATACCTATACTTAAAAGAGTAATTATAATATATAATATATAGTTTAATAAGTTAAAGTTCTACTTAAAAGAGAATAAATATATAGTAATACTAGCTGAGATTATACGTTATATTATTAAATAAGAACTAAAGCTTAAGTTATTCTTAAACTTAGTATTTAAGCTTCTAAGTATATAGGAATAAGCTAATAATATAATAGAAAATACTTTTAAAGAGTAAGAGACCTTAGTTATATAGTTATAAGATATTATAATATATAAGGAGACCTAAAAGAAGTCTCTAAGAAGTCTTCCTACTCCTAAATAAACTCTAAGACCTTAAATTATAATTAGGAGCTAGAGAGGGGAAACTAATATACTAAATATATCTAATAATAAATCTTATAAATAAACTAAAGAGGTTAGAGATATTTTAGAGGGGGATAATAGTATTTATACTACTCCTAATAAAGGTTAGAGTGAAAATAGTAAACCTTAAATTTAACTTAGAATACTAATACTAAATATAAATAAAGAAGAAAAAGTATTAATACCTCCTAAAAACCTTTCTAAGTTAAAAGATAGAATATATAAAGTTATAAACTAAGTATATAAAATAAAAAGCTTAGAAGAGGCTCTAAAAAGAGCTTATAATTAAAAGGATTATAGAAAGATAAGCTATTTAAGCTAATATAATTAATAACCTCTAGAGCAATTTAGAGACTTTATTTTATTTATTAATAATATCTTAGGGACTTATTCTAATATAACTAATAAGAAAAATAAGTTAGAATAGCTATTCTCTAAGATTAAATACTAAGAAAAGGTCCTCCCTATTAAGGACTAATATACTTAAGAGGCCTTCTTTATAATATTTATACTAAATATAAAAAAGGTAGTAGAAGAAAGTTCTTCTAAGTATATAATACTTCACTTATATATATAAAGTTATATTAGAAGTTAGAAATAGGAGCGTAATAATAAGGATTTAGAGCGAGATATATATATATCTAAGCTCTAATTACCTCCTTAAAGCTAAAAAGAACTTCTAATACTTCTAAAATATCTATATAAGTGCTTTATAGAAATAGTAAAGCTTAAGATTAAGAAACTATAAGAAAAAGAGATATAGTAAAAAATTAACTAATAATCTATATAATTAAGACCTCTACCCCTAAAGTAGGTATTTATATATAAAGTTAATATAAATAGTAATCTAAAGTGTTTTAAGGTTAAAATCTATATATAAGGAGACCTCTAGAAAAAGAGTACCCTAGAAAATATATATATAGTAACTCTTATTATAAAAACCTTTTATATTATAATAGCTTTAGCTACTTAGTTTAATCTTAAAGTATAGTAATTTAATATAGATAATACTTTCTTAAATATAAAGAGGGATCTAAATAGACCTTTAATCTATTATTAACTCTTAGAAGGTTTTAAATATAAAGAAAGGTATATAAAGCTTAATAAAGCTTTATATAGCCTTAGAGATATATTACTCCTCTAGTATAAGTATTTCTTAGTAACTCTAAAAAAACTAAGACTTACTTTAAGCTTAAAAGAGGTATATCTCTTTTAAGATCTTAAATATTAAGTTTTAGTTTTATTCTATATAGATAATATATTTATTCTATACTATTAGGATCACTCCTCTAAAATAAAACAAATTATTAATAAACTAAAAACTAAATATAAACTTAAGGACTAAAGTACTATTAAGTATTATCTTAAGATCTAAGTAGTTAGAGATTATATAGCTTAAAAGGTCTATTTAGTATATAACTTATATATTAAAAAGGTTACTAAGTATTTTAATCTTTAAAA